AAATGTGGTCAAGAAGTTTTCTTTCGCTTAACTTATGTGGAACCCAGACATCAAAGTGATTAACATAACAAAGCTGGTGAAAATGATTTTCAACACTTGATTTGGCTATCTCCCACGTGGTATAAAGTTGATTGTTATATCTCAATTAATGTCTCGATTTGATTGTTATCAACTTCAACTGGTCTACCCAACCATGGAGCATCATCCAGCAAGAAATCTCCAACATGAAACTTCACAAACCGTTTTTGACATGTTTGATCAGTCACAGCACCTTCTGCATACACTGCACAAATCTTTTTCTGCGTTTCAGTTGCGTTTTTACCTTTCTTGAAATGATAAAGCATATGCCGAAAATGTTGCTTTTTTCTTCAATCTTCAATATAAAAATGGCTACACAAAATTCACCAATTTTGATGTTGTTTTTTTTTAAATGCACACTGATATGACAGCTGTCACAATACAATCTAACAAAATTGTTTTGAATGAAGTTAGACAACTAAGCACTCCTAGAGCCATATTATGGAAAAATCTGAACAACCTTTTTGGCCAATCCAGTACTACAGTAGTACGCAGTCCGAGGTTGTTTGAATCCATGGATGTGGAGGAACTAGGAATACAGAGGACTCAGGGATACTGTACTCGAATTAACCCCCACGTAGTTTAGGGATCAGAGGTACTTTCTTGACAACACCATTTGCTATACACAGTACCTTCTAAATTCACATGGTGATTGGGGTGGCCATCTGTGTTAATTGCGTTTATCCAATGGAAAAGTAATACTTCTGTATTTATGACAAAGGGGTAATCAGAGCTTGGAGAAAGGTACCTAAGCTAACCTCCCACAGTGACAGAGAGATTGGGGTGCTATCTTCCTTGATGTTTATATTTCAAAGGCATGGCTCCCAGGCCTTTTAAGAAAAACATTCCTGGATTGTAAAGCTGGCAAGAGGTTTACGAAGCTTTTAAAAAGATTTTACATACATATCAAAGGGACTCAAGGCAGTGACCTAAGAATAGGGAAAAAGGGATAAGGTCTTTTGGCACCAGGAAAAATATAATATTTTTTCATTAATCTTTAAAAGCCCAGAGATCTGACAATGTTTTACCGCTGAATTAACCAACCTTTGTTACCATCTACCTCTGGGCTTTTTGTTATGTGAGATAACCCCAACGGTTTATGTATTGATAGTATAGGTATCCTCTGTCCTACAGGAAAGTCATCCTAAATTATTTGACCCCTAAAGGCAGAGGAAGATGAATTTTCCCCAGCCTCCTTATGTTTCACAACAAAGCCTAAACCATTGAAGCATACCAGAAATGTTCTGCCTCCTTCAGTTTATCTTTTAAAAAATGCATTTGAATCCACAATACACCCACATTTGTTTCAATATTTTTTCTTCCCCACCCTTTCCCGCCAAAAAACAACTTTAAGAGTTGAGGAAAGATGTGGGGAAAGGCAGAGAGGGGCAGATCTTTTGGAGAGGTTAATAATTTTATATTTTAATGTATCATCTTTTAGAATATAATTTCCACTGAGTGTCTTTAATTTGATTTCTAAACAGTCTGTTCTAAGACATTATTTAAACATTAGGAGTATAAATGAAATGGAAGCTTTAAGTAAATTATTTTCAAACAATCTGAGGTTTTATTATGAGTTACTTGTAGTAGTCCCTAATGCAAGCCTTTAGCATTGTAACATCTATCCGTAGTACCCTGGACCCTGCCACTGCTAGTTGTGAAAAAGAATAGACAAGTCAGCAAGGCTTATTTGGTAAACATAAAGGATTAAGTAAAGAACATATTAGCTTGGTAGTTGGTTCTTTTAGCCTTACCATTTCTCCATAGACACTTAAATGTTTCTCCTCAGATTTTGTTGACTGTTCTTTCTGTAAAACTTTCCTATATGGTGGTTACCACCAACACTTATGTTGAGATGACTTCTGGCACCATCACCTCCTCTGAATGTCTTGTCTTTGTAGATAAGAGAAAGATAAAAGAGATGTATGTGAGCAGCATTTAAAAATAGCTCTAAAAAGTCAGCAAGACATCCAGTAAAACTGAAGTACTAAATAGTACCTTTTTATATACTTACAGGCCTTTGTCAATGCCATTTGTCATCTATTATCTCTAACTCTGAACTATAGTTTTAAAAATTTCTTATAAGGGCTTCCCTGGTGGCGCAGTGGTTGAGAGTCCACCTGCCGATGCAGGGGAACACGGGTTCATGCCCCGGTCCGGGAGGATCCCACATGCCGCGGAGCGGCTCGGCCCGTGAGCCATGGCCGCTGGGCCTGCGCATCCAGAGCCTGTACTCCGCAACTAGAGAGGCCACAACAGTGAGAGGCCCGTGTACCGCAAAAAAAACCAAACCAAAACAAAACACTAAAAAAAAAATCCTTATTAGAGGAAAAAACATCTAGTAGTCTGATAGCTAATTTAGATTAGACTTTCCTCAACTTTCGCAGCAAAGATCACACTTCTCCAATTGTTCTATTTTTAAAATCCAAGTTAAAAATCTTAAATTTAAGTCAGTAGTAGTGTACCATGTCCTTGACATGAATTGTTTAGCTATATTACTGTACTTTTAAACATTTATTTTGTTATAAATTTTTAAATATATCTGTATATCTATAGTGTAGCCTCTGCTCCCTAGGGATTGTTTGACTTTGCAAGAAGTAATTAGTCTTATTCCAAACGCCTACTTAAGGTCCAGAGGTGTCCTAAGGAGGGTAGACATGGAAGTTGTATTAGTTTCCTAGGGCTGCCATAACAAATCACCACAAACTTGGTGGCATTACAGAAATTCTATACTCTCACAGCTCTGGAGGCCAGAAGTCAGAAATCATTTTCTTCTGAAGGTGTTCCTTGGGTGGTGGGAGCTTAACTTCAGTCTTCACCTCTGCCTTCACATGACTTTCGTCCCTATATGTCCCTGGGTCCAAATCTCTCTCTCCTTTCTCTTGTAAAGGTAGAAGTCGTTGGATTTAGGGCCCATCCTAAACCCAGGATGATTTCCTCTTGAGATCCTTGACTAATTATATCCCCAAAGACCCTATAAAGTCCAAATAAAGTCACATTCTGAGGCTCCAGATGGACATGAATTGGGGGGCGTGGGGACTGTTCAACCCACTACAGTAGTATTAACATTATTTTTTACATGATTGTTTAAAAATAATAATACCACTTTCTGTTATCTAAAACTTCCACAATCACTGTCTTATTGATTTTTATAACTTGTGTGTTTATGTGAGGTACTTCTATAGCATCCCCAATGGAAAGGAATCATTTTGCAGGAAACTGCATTTTCTCTCTCTTCCTTCACTTACTCCTCTCCCAAGTAGTGAGGAGATTAGAATGAGCCAGATGCATTTGCCCACATTTAACCAAGGGACATGGAACTGCACAGAACATAGCTCTCCTGGACATATTTGTGCCCAGAACACAAAGAGCTTGCGCTTCTGATCTCCATACAGTAAGCTGACCCAGCAGAGTCTCTTGCTATGTCCATCCAAGTCTTTTTTCAGTTCTACCTTCTCTGCCTGTAACCTGGTGAATGAATCAGTCAAGCAGATCTCAAGGTCTAGGATCAAAGTGAAATTAGAAGCACTGTCACTCTCCGTTCTAGCTTTACCAGTTATAAAGTTGATAAGCAACCCTCCTTTACCCCAGTGCTGTGTTTTTACTCTGTCATCCAGAACTATAACAGTAAGCAGAAAAGATATTAATGTGCCTATTTTTAAAGTAAGTTTAGCTAAAATATTGTAAAGAAATTCTTCACCAAAGCCTAGTAAGCCCAGCCATTGCTAAGATCAAGAGTTAGAACCCAGATTTCCTGACTGTATAGCTGTTTCTTTAAGCTTACTTTGATGACCCCCAATAGAATTCAGATTAGAATTTGCCCAATTATAGTATATAATATTCTTACCTATAGTGGTAAGAATCATTTTGTAAACTATCATTTTTAATTTCTAAGTTACCACTGTGGCCTGCAGTGTTTATGGAAAGGTATAAACATATGCCTTCATATAAACAATGCTATTACCTATTGGACTTCTCTAGTGGCGCAGTGGTTAAGAATTTGCCTGCCAATGCGGGGGACATGGGTTCGGGCCCTGGCCCGGGGAGATCCCATATGCCACAGAGCAACTGAGCCTGCGCTCTAGAGCCCACAGGCCACAACTACTGGAGCCCGCATGCCCTAGAGCCCATGCGCTGCAACTACTGAGCACACGTACTACAACTACTGAAGCCCACACACCTAGAGCCTGTGCGCCACAAAAAGAGAAGCCACTGCAATGAGAAGCCCACACACCGCAACAAAGAGCAGCCCCCGCTCGCCACAACCAGAGAAAGCCCGTGCACAGCAACAAAGACCCAATGCAGCCAAAAAAACCCCCCAAAAACAATGCTATTACCTATTAAGAGAGACTAATTATTAAACCTCCTGTAAATCCATAATGTTTGTGAAACCTTTATTTAAATTTGCAGTACCTGCTCTAAGAACTGCAAAGACTAATGTATTAGAAGTATGTGAAAGTCCTTGCTGTGTCCAAATAATGTGCTTTACTTGTTCCTTCAGTGTTTATTCATAAATATAGATTAATTAATTTCTAGTTATACTATGAGGCCTCCAGGCTGCCAAAACATATGATTGATATTATATCTGATTTTTAAAAGAAGGTCTCTAAAAAATTCTGAATTGGTTTGTTTTATGCCATTTTACAGTTTGTTGTTTTATGTGTTTCAGGCAGGTATATGGGATTTGCTTTTTAACTGCCTTATTTCAGATGTCTAGTTGTTCATCTTACTGGATTTTCTTATGCACTCTTCTGGAATATTTTGTGTTTCTAATCATTTGAATGGATGAGGTTCATCTTCTGGTGTGTTTTTCATCAAAGCTGCTCAAAATAGGTCATGGGTGTCCTCTGCCATTATAACTGAGATCACTTGATCTTCTTGTTGAATTCTAATTGAAACTCATTTTCCCCTTTTATTTTCAGATACTTGTATCTTCTGTTCTCCAGTGATGACCTTTTACCTTTAGACCACTGGGTATTTAATACAGAGGCTCACCCTCTGCCTGTGTTACATTTAGCCAACACCACACTTTCAAGAAACCCTGCTGTTCGATGAAAGCAGCTCCAGAAAGACCATTCTCACCTGTGTTTTGTTTACATGGACCACTACAGAAATTAGTCTGGAGAGGGGCCTTTTGAAAACCTGGACCTCTTAAGTCAACATGGCAGGGTGAAACGTGACTATTCCCTGCAAGACTTTTCAACTTGTAGATGTTTCAACTTTGAAATGATTCCATTTTATACCTGACCAAAACATATTCTGGTGTGTGTAGGACAGAGACCTGATGTGCTTTGATTCTTAACAAGATGGTCACGTGAGAAATTATGCCTGTTACTGCTTATTGCTTCTAGAGTCCTGGAATCTGGAGGCTAGATTTCCTGAGAATAAGCCAAGAATGTGGAGCACCTTGCAGGAGTTGGAGATGGCCTTTGGAACCAATTATATATTTGTTTCCTCCCAAAGTGGAGCAGCTCTCAAGTCAAAATATTTACACATTGTTTATCCCTTTTTTCTCCATTTTTAATAATGGAATGAATTAAAATAAATAAGAACAAAAGAATGGTGTAACTGCATCAGCAGCAGGAAGACTCAAAAAGGAAACAGAATACCTATCCCTGTCCGAATTTTCAAGTTTCGTATTAGATGACCAGACTGGCAACCATTTCAAATCTCAGTCTATCTATTCCGTTGAAATTCCTTGGTTAAATTTGTTTTCTCTGGAGGCATGATCTCACAAAGAATACTCTTCAAGTCTTTGTCTCCATATAGAATCATTGAAACTGCTATTTATCATAACCACTACTTACGAGCCTGGGTTTGGGATTTTGTGCATGTTGTTCAGTCTAGTGTTGGTAGCATGACAAAAAGTGGGGAAAATGCCGCAGTTTGTTGCCTTGAAACCTGTCCTAAGAGAAAGCCTTGGTTTTGTTGGTAGGAGATTATTTTTCCAAAGCAGCAAATCTACCAAGTAAATTTTATCTACTTTAACCTCATTAGAAACTTAGTAGAATCCCTTGATTTACAACTCTCCTTATGTGGCTTGGCAAAATTCACTATACTGTCATGCAGCTCTGAATTTACCTTGATGAGGCAAATTACTTTTACAATTTACTAAATCAAAAACAAAATATAGTGAAACTTCCTTAACTATTTTTGGGACAGGGGATCCTTTATTATCCCATTAGATGATGGAGCTTTTCACAAATATTTTATGTAAAAAATAAATTCAACTTTTTTTTCTCCAAGGGTATTTACAGAAATTCAAAGAATTAATCAGAATAGCTTCAAAATAATTTTTAGTGATTAAATGTGGTATAATCAATTATATTACGCTAAACATGGGATATATCTAAGGGGCTTTCTCTTACCACCAATAGATTTTGCAATGATATTTCTTTTTAAAGAAATTATGATTTCTCTATATTGGGAGGGGAATAACTTAAATTTTATCAAGAACTGTAAGATAAATATCTGACTTAATAAATTTTCTGACCCTTGAATTTATGTCGCAGTGCAAGACACTTTTTCTTCCTTACCTTTAATACAGACAGCTTCCATTGGCAGTAATGGTTGGGAGTAGTATTATTAGTCTAGTATTTACTCTGAACTTGAAGATTTCATGAAACAGTGTGCAGGAAGCCCACCTTAGAGTTCTGAAGGCTTATTTTCTTATTTTGTTTACTCTTTTATTAGCATGTGGTAGATTTAAATTGGAAAAAGATTTAATAAATTAATATAATTAAATATTTTTTAAGGGTGATCATCTTATATCACACATAGTCAAGCAGTCCTCACAGTTCAGCAAATGATCCATGAATGATAACCACCTCAAGATTTTCAGTATACATAGAAAGTAAGGATGTAGAGCCAGTTGCATTATTTAAATCTTTAGGAGAGTTAAATTTTAGTACATATTTTGAGACTATAATACCTTTTACTAGTTGAAAAATTAAAAATTTTAAATGAAAAGTGTAGATGACTAACTTTAGAAGAGAAAGGGGAAAGTAGTTGGTTCTCAAAACATGTTAGCTTTCCTCCTGAAAATAGCAGAAGCCCACTTATGGGTCACTAAAAAGAATGAAAAACTTGACTTGGCAAAAGACCCAGAACAGCTGTAGAGATGGCAGTGAGCCCTCCCTCACTTCGTTTAGAAGAATGCTGAGTAAAGGGGCCTTCTTGGTTCCCCAAGAACTTCTCAAGGAATGAAAAGACAGAGCCCCCGCCCCAAGTGCTCTGTTTGTGTTTCTTGGATGACTGGAGCTCGGGAGAAGGCAGAGAAGTGTACAGGCATGGCCAGTTCTGGTACAAGCAAAAAGCTTGAGGGGGACAAAGGAAGAGTCTTCTTCATCATCTCCTTGCCTTCCTTGTGAGAAGACTAGCGCTTATGAGTATGCTTCCTTTTTTTGTTGTTTTTTCTTCTCTGAATACCAAAGGCAATTAAATTTAAGTCAGCTACATATGACTTGCCAGTGTCATGTTTTATTTTTGTTATAGATTAAAAAAATTATTTTCTCCAAGATCCATCCTTATTCCATAGTATCCCATATTCTGCTAGTTTCCAAGAACATACTTTACTTTGTTCTGTCCTCTACAGTCCTTTGCATTTTGTAGACCTTATTACTCAGGTTAAATACTCATTACATTTATAAGACCTTCTGCAGAGAGCCCAGAAATGCTCATTTCCAGGTGCCTCCTCAAAAGCAGACACATTACTTCGTGCCTTTGGCACAGATGTGCAGAGTAGATAGATCATTTGGTATATAAGAAAAAAGAACAGAGATGCTGAACACCCCCTCTACCTTCTATATTTATTTTTCTTTTAGAATTTTAGGATCATACTTTTTGGTTCAAACCAGTATAAAGTTGTTAAAACCAAGAGAATGTGGTCCCAATCAAAAAGAAGTCTTGGTGCAGAAAAGTAAGTACCCAGTCACAGGGTTCTTACTTTCTCGTGCGTTTCACAGATGTGCTCTTTTATGTCTCTCTGACACCAACTTATTCTTGTCTTTGAGCAGATGTTTATATGTAAAAGCAAAACCTGGATATTGAAGGAATATATTCCTTCTGTGGAACATTGACCCTGATTCTCTATGATGTCCTCTAGGACAACCCAGGGCTTCACTTGGTAGATTTTAACCAAGCAGTTTAAAATTTGATCATTAACTTCTCATCTCCATTCTCCATTGCCAAAGTCTTTGTCAAAGCTACAAATTTGTCGCTAAAAGGTTGTGCTCGCCATTCTCATCATGGAGTTTCTCCTTAGGCCTGGATTTCTTTGAATGAATGAGTGAGTGAATGAGAGGGTGAGTGAATAAACACAGGGTACCTAATATGTGCCAAGCATTGTGCTAGCTACTTTCAAGTATTAGAACTTTTTGTGATTCCAGTGGCATTTTCTGTATAAGAGTTGTTCGTACCATTTTAAGTGTTTTCCGGTATGATTCATGTTACAAAATCCTTAATTTTGTATTTCATTTAAATTAAATATGGAAAGAAATGGTTTATAATATATTTTAAACAATGTGTTACTATATAATACTAACAGCTCTAATTGTAGTTAATAACTAAAGTCTCTTGGAAAATGTCAAAGAAGTACTTGATTTCTGATGCAACTTTAACTAAAATATCTACTTTAGAAATAAAAACATTCTTATTTTGCTATTATCACTTTAATTACATAATTAAAAGTTAATGTTTTATAGAAATGCTGATTATTTTATATTCAAAAATTTTGTCACGTAATTCATGGGTAAAATTTGCAGTTGTGAATTGTTCATGCTCTGCTCTGGTTCCTAGCAATGGTCCCATGCTGTTAAATATAAAGAAAAATATACTGAAATATTTCTGAGTTGCTAATAACAGTTCCTAGTAATGGCATCTTGAGTTCTTATTTTTCTTCAGGTTTCCTTACCCTCAAATTGGCTAATAGCTCATATCTTATCCACTCTTTACGCAGATACATACATAAATACAGTTGTACACAGAGACTTTTAATACTGTCTCTGTCTGCCAATTAACAAACACAGTTGTTAACGTGTTTTGGCTGCACAAATTCTAAGCAGAATATTTGAGGAACCAAATATGATCTGGAGATATTTTAATGCCCTTACTTGGTTCAGGAACATTGGTGAAGATGATTTTCTGTTCCTTCAGCTCATTCAGATCACACTCTTTGTGATCTATAATGGATCAGCAAGCTTCCTCCAGAGGGCTAGATGATAAATATTTTAGGCTTTGTGAGCCATGCAGGCTCTATCTTTACTACTCAGTTCTGCTGTTGAACTGTGAAAACAAGTATAGACAATATATAAAGGAAGGGGTGTGGCTGTGTTCCAATAAAACTTTATTTACAAAAACATGGAGGGCTAGATTTGGCCCCTGGATCATAGTTGTTAACCCTTGATCCCAATTTAAATTTGTATAAGACCCTATAATCTTTGACCTGCATCTTTTATCTGTGTTTTGAGTACATAATTCATTTTTAGAGCAAAAAAAAGATGTGTGTATGTACGATTGTATGTGTTTGTGTAACCTAAAGCTATATATTTCGTTGTCTTGAAAACAGCTGTTACTCTACTGGAGTCTGTTCAGGTTTCAATATGGTACAACTATCTTGAAAGAGGCATTTTTTTGTTCATGGGGTATGCTATCAGTCCTTATCCTTGCCTTGTCATTTAATGCTGCAATTTCAGAGTCTCTGTGTAAAAGGAAGGGTCTCTGTGGTGTCAAAATAGTATATTTGCTCCAAGTTCTGCCTGCTCATTGACCTTTGGACCAACGACTCTGGATTGCTGGAGCTGCAAAAATTCCTCCACTTGAAATACTCGTAGAGTCCTATGACACGAATATGATAGAATTTCTGACCTTTGTGCTAAAGAAACCAATCTCTTGGAAAAATTTTAAGCAACAGGAGAAATGGGTTATGTGCCTCAGTTGCCATTTGGCAACCACTATTACTTTTTTAGAGTGCAGAAAGGTACTGCCCTTATTTCCTCTACAACAGCCTAAATCTGAGTGCAGAGAAAAGATGTATCCAAAAGAAGAGTTCCCCTTCCTCTTCTTGCACTTGCCTCAAATTCTTTTCAAGTCAATAGCATTATTTCAGAATGTCAGTGTGCATCATATTTAAATTAAAGCATCCTCAGCCTTAGCCTTTTAACTGTTTAACAACTAATCCATTTTAAACTTTGAGCACAGCAGAACTCATGAAATTACACGACACCATATTGCTAGTATGTATGTATGTACATTGCAATGCACCAATCATCCTGAGAATAGCTTTTTCACAAAGAAGTTTATCAAATATTTCACTGTATTTGGAAATTCTAGAGGAGGGGAAGCCTGTACTCAGAGTGATAGGGGAGCACATGTTATAAATGAGCTACCTTTCTAGGTCCAGCATACT